GGGGGGGGGGGGTGTGTGGAGACAATTTCCCCCATCTAAAATAGTGTTTTGTCTTTTTGCTGTGGTTTTGGAATTTCAGCAGGGTGCATCTGGGGTGGATCTTTTTTCCACTCATCTCACTATAGATACTCAGTGGGTCCCTTTCATTCTCTGGGAATTTTATTGTTGTTGTTGTTCTTTCCTTTGGGAACTGTTATTTGTAAATTTTGGATATAGTCTCTATTGTTTAACTTCTTTTTTCAAGTTTTGTGTTCTTATATTCCTCATTGTGGGGAAATTCCGTGGCCTGCTCTCCCAGGTTTGTTCTTCGGCTATGTCTGTAGCCAGCCAGCTATTGAGTTTCTTTTTTGGACCATAATCACTTCCACCTCTTGTATTTCTTTTTGATTCTTTTTCGTAACACCTTGTTCTTTCTTTATGCATATGTTTTTCTGCTTTAACTTTTGAGGAGAAAATAGACCTGTTTTTACTAAAGAGTCCTTTCTTAACTGTTTCCTCGGTTATTTATTCTCTTGGCTGAGTTTAGTGCTGTTTGATGTCATGTGATAAGGCAAGGAAGTACATAAAACAGTTTAGAAAGATTTCTAGCAAAAATAAAGGAAGTGCCTAAGTAGAAATGTTTTTTTACTACCTTACTCACTGACAGTGTTGGATAAATTAGGCTTTCCTGTAAGAACATCTGATCCCTGTGGTTATGCTAGGTATATCTATAATACAGCCTCTCCAGATTAATCAGTTTTTTGTTTGTTTACTAAGTATTTGTTCTTTAGCGCTTCCCACATGCTAGGTATTGTCCAGGGTGCTAGTTTTTATTTTAAGTATTTATATTAAAATTCATTGATCTGGCATAACTGTGAGAAAAAACAATGGGGATATATTTGAATAAAATGATATAATTTAACGAAGTGATTAAATTTCAAGAACATAAAATATTGAAAATACTAAACTGCCAAGATGAAGTCAGGAATAAACTACTGTGCCCTGGCCGGTCTGGCTCAGTTGGTTGAGTGTCGTCCATGCACCAAAGTGTTGCGGGTTCCATTCCCTATCAGGGCACATGCCCACGTTTAGGGCTCGATCCCCAGTCGGGGGGGTGTGGGAGGCAGCTGATTGATGTCTCCTGTCGCATCATTGTTTCTCTCTCTCCTTCTCCTTCCCCTCTCTAATAAAAAAAAACAAAATAAAAAAGAAACTATTCAGCTTAAAAATAACTGTCTTCTAAACTCTCAGAAGTTGATAATGGCAATATCGTCAATTATAACTACACTAGCACAGATCACTTCAAGTGTTCAGCTGTTGACTCCAGAGCACACTGATACTTTAGTTCTTTCCTTAAGGGCTCTTAATATCCTTGTAAAACAGCAGTGGGCTGATTGTCTTTTAACAAATTGGTTTCTTCAATATATGACTAAGATGCGGTAAATAGTCGTTTGTTTAGATGCACTAATTTGGAATTTGACAATTACAGTACCTTGGATTCAGACTGGATGGATATCACCCTTGCACTATGAAATGATAGCTTCCTGAGACCGACTATAAAAACGTCCTTATACCACATCATCAGTGTTTGCTGGCACATAGAAATGAGCTAATCACCGATTAGCCCGAGTTTTTTCTTCAAAGAGGTCTCTGAGGCTTGTGCCTTAATAATACTTTTTCCCAGGTGGCATTTCTTCGTTTTCCAAAAGAGAAATTGACTTTGAACTTTTCTCTTCTTGGAAAATTTTCAAGTGACCGGATGACATTTTTGAGTCGGATGCACTGTTCCTTTTTTTTGTTAACCCTCACCCAAGGATGTTTTTCCCATTGCTTTTACAGAGAGTGGAAGGGGGGTGGGGGAAGAAAGAAACATCGATGTGAGAGAGACACAGTGACTGGTTGCCTCTGGCACGTGCCCCAACCTGGGGCTGGGGGTGAGCCTGTAGCCCTTCCGTGCCGGGCCCATGCTCTAACCACTGAACCACACCGGCCAGGGCTGCACTATTCCTTCTTATTGATTGCTGGGTGTTAGTGTGCATAGCCTTGTGAATTCATGGCAGTAATTCCTGACCTCTCGTCTGTCACAGATCCCGGATTACAGGAATGCAGTGATCGTAGCCAAATCTCCAGCCTCAGCCAAGAGGTAGGTGGGATCCATCCACATCCAGGGATCTTCATCAGATCCCGGGTGTTCTGGATTCAACCTCAGTTCCCACTGGTGTCCCTTACTTTTATTCTGTGGACTGATAGTTTAAAAGATTATCTGCTGACTTCATTTATTAAGTGATGATTAGATTTCCTTTTTTTTTCAACTCCAGTCTGTGACCACCAGTCATATTTCTTTACCAAAGCCATCCAGGTCTGGGGAATCCCAACCTAGTGCTTCCTTCACTCTCAGGTTGGCGGCTGCTTGTTGTTGATCTTCCAATCTGACATTTATAAGACTAGCAAATATACTTTGTAGTTGTTTACTGCCTTGAACTCAGTAATTTATTAACAGAATTGTATCCAGCCCAGTGGTATGTGTTAAAAGGTGACATTTTACAAAACTAAAACACCCTGAGGCATTTCAGATGGGGCAGTGCTGAGAGTCACATGTAATCTGGAGTAACTGATGAGTCAGTAATACAGTACTTAAAGTTGTATTTGGGCTGAGAGGATTTCATGTACCAATGTTTTCTGGAGAAGCCACTCCATTGGAGAAGGAAAGAACAAAATCAGATGTAGCAAGGAATAGTCTTTTTCCTAGAAAGTCTCTTTTAAAATTATTTTCCACAATTGCATACCTTTGCTCACTGGATCACTGTTGAGTCCTGTGGAATGAAAGAAAACATAGGTACCTCCCTCCTGGACCCATGGACTGTTAATTTTGAAGGATGAAGGAGAGCTTGCACATAGTAAGCCATTGGTTTAGAAGGGTTACAGATAAGTAGTTTTCCATTATAAATTAAGAATGACATTTAGTGTATTAATTAGGTTGGCATTTGTGATAAGCCATGAAGTTGCCATGTTCTTAGAGCCAACCTCCTAGTGTAGCCAGGGCTGTGCCCACACACCCTTCCTTCAAGAAGCTGTATCATCAGAGCTCACATTGTCCATTTGATTAAGTCTTAGTAAACTACGACTCATTTTGGAATGTAAACATTTCAAACAACTTTTTCAAACATTTGTGCAGAGGCTGAACTAATTTTAATGTAGTAACTTATTTTTCTCTGATGTACAGACTTATAAAAAGTTAAGGTAAAAAGCACACAGTGTCCAAGTAACCATTTAAAGTATACAGTTCACTGGCGTCGGGGCATTCGCAGTGTTGGCAGCCCCCGCCTCACTGCGGAGCACCCTGTGCGCTCTGCGCAGCCGCTCTCCATCCCTCCCCCAGCCCTGCCACCCAGTCATCTTTTCTGTCTCTGGATTCGCTTATTCTGGATATTTCATGTAAATGGAATCATACAGTATATGGCCTTTGGTGTTTGGTTTCTTTCACTTAGCATAATGTTTTTGAGGACCATCTATGTGTTGGTATTTCACTTCTTTTCATAGCTAAATAATATTCCGTGGATGGATGTACTGTACTTTATTCAGCCATTGATGGACATTGGGGTTGTTTCCACCTTTTGGCTATTTTGAATAGTACTGCTGTGAACATTTGTTTATAAGTTTCTGCATTGACAAATGTTTTCATTTCTTGTAGATGTATACCTAGGATTGAAATTGCTAGGCCATCGTAATTCTGTTTACAGTTTTGAGGGACTACAAAACTATTTTCCATTTTACAGTATCACCAGCAATGTACCAGGGTCCTAATTTCTCTACATTATTACCATCTATATTACATTAGATGATTATAGTCGTCTTAGTGAGTATGAAATGGTATCTTGTTGTGGCTTTTTGTTTGTTTGGTTACTCCTCACCCAAGGATACTTTTTCCATTCACTTTTAGAGAGAGTAAGAGGAGGGAGGGAGAGAGAAACATCGATGTGAGAGAAGACACATCGATTGGTTGCCTCCCAAATGGGCCCCGCACGGGCCGGGCATCAAACCTGCAACCCAAGTACATGCCATTGATCGGGAATTGAACCCAAGACCCTTTGGTGCTCAGGCCAATGCTCTAATCACTGAGCAACACTGGCCAGGACTCTCATTGTGGTTTTGATTTGAATTTTCCTAATGATGATGATGTCGAGCATCTTTTTGTGTGCTTGTGGCCATTAGTATATGTTTGGAGAAATGTCTACTCAAATCCTTTGCTTATTTTTAAATTGGGTTGTTTGTCTTTTTGTTGAGTTGTAGGACTTCCTTATATATTCTAAATACTAGACCTTTATCAGATGTATGATTGGCAGACATCTTACTCCATTCTGTAGGTTGTCTTTTCCCTCTCTTGGTGATGTCCTTTGATGTACAAAAGTTTTTAATTTTTGTGAAGTCTAATTTAGCTTTTTTGTTGTTGTTGCTTGTCCTTTGGCATCGTATCTAAGGATGCAGTGCTGAATTCAAGGTCGTTACCTTTTGCCCCTATGTTTTCTCTTAATAGTTTAGTTTTAGCTCTTATATTTAGGTTGTAGAGCTATTTTGAGTTAATTTCTGTATGTGGAGTGAGGTAGGTGTTCAGCTTCTTTCTTTTCCATGTGATTATCCAACTTAGTTGTCCAGCACCCTTTGTTGAAAAGACTGTTCTTTCCCTTGGATGACTTTGGCACCCATGTTAGAAATCAATTGGCTGTAGATGTTTGCATTTATTTCTGGACCCTCAGTTCTATTCTGTTGTCTGGATGCCAGTACTACTCTGTTTTGATTGCTATAGTTTTGTAGTAACAAATAGATCAAACAATCAGAAGTGGGTGGAAGTTGGAGTGTAGACCTTTTACATGTCCTCCATTAACATGAAGAGGCGGGTGCCCACTGGGCTGGTGAGTCTTGACTGCACTAGGCCTCCTCTGACACCGCCTGGTGGAGGGAGGAGGAAGGCACCTCTTTCCTGCTGAGTTGGGGTGAAGTCCAGGTTTCACTCTCCACTGACACTGGTAGGTGGGGGCTCATTACCGCTGAGTAGGGATGAAAGTTCCAGCTTCTTACTTGGCCTTCTCTTCATCCCGCAGGGTTTGGGGTGCATCACTGTAGCTTGGGAAGGGAGGAAGTATAGACCCTTTACTTGGTTTTTACTCCTGTTGGGGAGGGATGCAGCCGCAGTGTTTTCTGTGATGTCTGTCTGGAGTAGGGCAGTTTCTGTCTTCTTAAAGCTTTCTGACTTGTGAGGCTGCTCCTTTCTTGGTCCTTTGGATAGAGAGAGCAGGCTCTTTGGGGGCTGTGTACCCATTGGCATTTTTGGGTTGCCTGCTTCTCCAGCTGCAAGTCTGGAATAACGCAAAAAGAAAGCCCAGAGGACTCACCACCATGTCATTTCCTCAGTCCTGAGGTCCCTGGCCAGTCTGCTTTCTCCTCTCTACCATTAGAGTCTTCTTATGTTTGTTTCATATATATAATATTCAGGGTTTTCGTTGTATTTTGTGGGAGGAGTACTCCATCTTAGTGGAAACAGAGGTGGCAGCAGTGTACTTTGATAAATTTTTTCCCACTGAATATCAGAAGTTGATGAATTTTGACTCACCTATCTGGGTAGGCTTTTGGTAACTTATAAAATTCTCATTTTACATCTAACATCATGTATTGATGAGATGACTAGATGAGTGGTAGAATTTTTTCCATTGTGGTAGCCTTTTGCTTAGCTTATTTGGCTTTTATTAGTATGACAGGGATGTTTGTCATTTATCCATTCAGATGTTTATTGAGGACCTATTGCACTAAGTCTGATGTAGGCCTAGGAAGATGCCCTCAGGGAGCTTATGTCATATGTCAGGTGTTTTATGTAGTATTGTGGATCAAATGTTTGTCTCCCCCCCCTCCCCCAAGTTCATATGTTGAAATCTTAGTCTTACCCAAAGTGATGGTATTTAGGAGGAGAGGCCTTTCGGAAGTGATTAGGTGATGAAGGTAGAGCCCTTGGATGGGATTAGTGCCTGTATGAGAGGAGATAGAGTTTGCTTTGGCTCTCTGTTCTCTGCCTTCTGAGGATAGGAGAAGGTGGCCATCTGCAAACCAGGAGGCTGTCGATTGGCTGATGCCTTGATCTTGGACTTGTATCTCTAGAACTGAGAAATAAATGTCCATTGTTCAAGCCCCCCAGTCTGTGTGTTCTGCTGAAGTAGCTGGAATAAGAGATCTATATTATCTCATTTGATCTTCTCTACCTAGGAGGTCAGCATTTTCTCTCGCAGATGAGGAAACACACCTGAGGGGATGAAGAAACTTACCCAAGGTGATTCAGCCATATGTTGTTTACTGGAAGGTAGCAACACAACAGTGACTTCTTGGAGTTTTCCACACCAGTGATTATGGGATTTGAGTCTTGGCCAAATATGAATGAAATTGATTTGCCCATTTACTTGGTCTTCACTTAACACATATATCTGATAAAGGACTTATATTTACACTAAATAAAGACTTCTCAAAACTTAATAAGAGAACTGACAACCTAATTAATAAATTGGCAAAAGATAAACAGACCTTTTACTAAAGAGTATATATGGATGGCAGATAAGCACATGAAAAAATGTTCAACACTATTTGCCTTGAGGGAAATCCAAGTTGAAACCACAGTGAAGTACCACTGCAGACCATTAGAATGGATAATATTAAAATGACTGACCACACCAAGTGCTGCTGAGAATGTAGAACAGGAACTTTCATGGGCATGAAAGGTGCAGGGGTGGGGAACCTTTTTTCTGCCAAGGGCCATTTGGATATTTATAACATCATTTGCAGGCCATACAAAATTATCAACTTAAAAATGAGCAATGAAAAAAACTAGATTTATTGAATTTCGAGTCCCGCCTGCGGTTGCCTTTGCAGGGCCAGACCAAATGATTTCGTGGGCCATACACAGCCTGCAGGCTAGACGTTCCTCACCCCTATAATCACTTTGGTGGTTTTGTGTGTCTTTTGAAATATGTTTTTATTGATTTCAGAGAGAGAAAGGGAGAGGGAGAGAGATAGAAACATCAACGATGAGAGAGAATTATCGATCAACTGCATCCTGCATGCCCCCTACTGGGGATGGAGCCCACAACTCGGGCGTGTACCCTGACCGGGAATCAAACCGTGACCTCCAGGTTCATGGGTTGAGGCTCAATGACTGAGCCACACCAGCTGGGCTGGTTGTTTTTTGAAAGAGTTAAGTATATGCCTACCATATGATTTAGCCATTCTACTCTTAGGTATTTACCCAAGAGAAAAGAAAGCATAAGTCCATACAAAGATTTGTATGTGAATATTCATAGCAGTTTTGTAATAACTCAAAACTGGAAACAACTCAAAAGTCCATCAACCAGTAAATGGACAAACTGTGAGAGACCCATACAACAGACTGTTACTCAGCAATGTAAAGGGATGGCCTGTTGATGTACAGTATATCATGGATGGATCTCCAAAGCGTTACGTCAAGTGAATGAAGTAAGACACAAGAGACTACATACTCTGATTCCACTTATGAAATCTGTGGTGACAGAAAGCAGATCTCTAATTGCCTGGTGCTTGAAGGAGAAAATTACAGAGGGGCACAAGGAAACATTTGTCATGATAAATACTTTCATTGTGTTGGTTGTGCTAATGTTTATATGGATATCTACATGCATCAGAGTTTATGAAATTAAAATAGCTTAAATATGTGCAGTTAATTGTATATCAATTACACCTTAATAAAACTTAAAAATTGATGCTTAATACTTTGAGTTTTTAATGCACTTTGTCTCATGGTTTGTTTTCACTATAAAGTAGAAAATTAGCATTTACAAGTGAGGAAAGCGAGGCTTAGAGGAAGTTAATTAACTTATGCAGGCTCACTTAGTTGGCTGAGTACAGACCAGGGCCCCTGCTGCCCACCCATTGGTGCCCATTGCCAGAGGGACGTGTTTATCACATGGGGCTCCACACTTTGTGCTGGAGTCTAGGACTCTGAGATTATTTTCTTCTCTTTTTTCATTAATCCTTTGGGAAACTACTTTTTATTCATGTTCTTTTAATGTTTCTTCCATTGACATTAACAGAAGACAGGTGCTGCATGATTTTTGAATTGTCTCATGCTCTCCCTCAGGGCACAGTCTTTTGCTGAGCGCCTTCGACTGGGTATTGCAGTGATTCATGGAGAAGCTCAGGATGCTGAGTCTGACTTGGTGGATGGACGGCATTCCCCGCCCATGGTCAGGAGTGTGGCTGCCATCCACCCCAGCCTGGAGATCCCTAGTAAGTGTGCTGCTCCTTTTTTGCTTCCCTCTTTGGTTTTAAGGCTGACTTAATTTTTTTTCAAATGTGAATTACCTCTTCTCTTTCTGTTTTTTAAGTTGACAAAATACTTTTCCTGGCCTGGTTGTAACAAATGCACTTCTGATGGCTCCGTGGACTGTAGAGCCTTTCAAAAGCAGTTTGTCTGGTTATAGCCAAACTGTGAAAGTGCTCAAGCTGTGTCACTTGAGGGAATTTCATTCATTCAGTAATATATTTTGTAGTTTAACACACGCACAAGTTGTTCGCTCCGGCGTTATTTTATTGCAGAATACTGGAGGAGCCTGACTGGCTTATCAGAGTGGGCTGAGTAAACGGTGTTGTATCAGTGTATCTAATCATGCAGCTCTTCTTTCTGTTGTTAACCCTCACCCACGTGTGTTTTTTCCATTGGTTTTCTTTAGAGAGAGTAGAAGAGAGGGCATGAGGAAGGGGGGCGGGGAGAGAGGAGAGAGAGAAACATTGATGTGAGAGAAGACGGGTTGCCTCCCGAACATGCCCCAATCGGGGCCAGGGATCAAACCTGCAACCCAGGTACGTGCCCTTGACTGGGAATCCAACCCGAGACCTTTGGTACGCAGGCTGACGCTCTAACCACTGAGCCAAACTGGCCAGGGCTAATTATGCAGCTCTTTGAAATAATTAAGACTATCTGGAAACGAGATAACCTGTGGGATGCATATAAATAAGGCAGAATATGAGAGTGTATATTCACCTTTGTGCAAGGACCAGGAAGAACTGTGAAGGATGAAAATTGTTATGATGGGCTGGTAAGATTTATGTGTGAATTGGGTTTTGTTTTTAAGAAATTTGCCTCATGCTTTAATATTTTTTCAATTAAAAAAAAAATACTGCCTTTGAGTCTGTTGGGGAGGAAAAACTATTCTTCTATCCTCTTTACATTTAGTACCTAGGGATCTGAATTTGTCTTAGTAACAGAAAAGACAGCTTTTTTTTTTTTTAAGGTAGAAAAAACAGACTTTATTTAGTAAAGTTGCATTGGGGCGAAAGACATCTCACTGTAGAACTGGGCTCAGCTCTGAATATAGCAAGGCCCAATGGAGATTGAGAGCCAAGAAACTGGTTGGGGGAGGGAGGGGTCAGTGATAGAAAATCACTAAGAGGGGGAGGCATCAGGGGTAGGGGGAATTCTTGCTAAACTGACCTAATGAAATTCTTGCTAAAAGAAGGCCTGGGGGATAAGATGAGTTCAGGAATTCCAGCCTGAGGACAAAGCCCAAGGGTTAGTCCAGGTTGAGAAAAGGGCTTACAGGAGTCGGACCACACTTTGGCTAAGGTCATAGTCTTTGTTACTATTACAACTTTATCACACTGAACTGAAATACTTTTTAAACAATTTTTTAAATAAGTTTAATCACTTTTATTTTAATAAAATTACATAGGCATTGATATATTTCCTATCACGCTGGCAACAAGTCAATGAGAATATTATTGCTTAAAATCATGAAGAATTCTCAAACTTGTAAGCATACTCAGGACACGTGGCAGTTGGGAATTGGGGTTCCTGTCCCTATTGGGGCTCACCTGTTGGAGGAGTTGTGGTTGGGAATGTGGCCCCGAGAGCCTGGGTTCACATCCCGACCCCGGCCTTGTGAGCTAGCTGACTTTGGGGGAGCTCCTTAATCTCTCTCTATTTCACTTTCCTCATCTGTTTAGAACAGTATTTGCATGACCCACTAGGCAGAGAGCTTTAGGAAGGTAGAGATCATTTTGAACTTAATGTTGTATTTCTCACAAATAGCACAATGCCTGGCACATGGTGAGCAATCAATAAATGCTTACTAAAGTGAAATTAACTTTTAGAACACAGATTTTAGGAGGAGGTTAGAATTTGGGGCTTATCAATGGTATATACCATTTTAATAGGGGAAGAAGATGAGGAGGAGACTTACGGGAAAACAGATGACCTTTTGGGAAGAGAAATGAGACCTCGGGAAATGGATAGGGGAGAGGCTTGGTATGAGGCAGTGTCTGTCTGGGAGTGGTGCTGACTTCTGCTGTAGGAGGGGAGAGTCAGTCTTTGCCTGGTTGTTCCTGGAGAGGATGTATATATAACCAATGAGTTCTTTTGGAGGCTCTGTTTTTAGGCAAATGAGGGATTTTAGGAACTCAGATCCCTTCAGCTCAAAACACTTTTTATGCCACTGTGGAGTATTTTGTACCTCTTCAGGTTCTTGCTCTGTCTACGTACGAGTTTGCTCATTTATACATAGAGAAGACTTAGAGAAGGAAATAATGTCCTGGGATAGCCATGAAGGAGCTGAGATTGCAGCTGGGCCTTGTGGACCTTGGGTTGCTGAGGTGGAGATAGAAGGTGTTGAAGCATGGGTTAAATCGGGGTGCCAGGACCGCCTGGAGGGCAAGAGGGCAGGCTTTGGAGACAGCGGCTGGGGTTTGTGTCTGGCTAAAGTGTGGCCAGGAAGTACACCACCCTTATTGCCAAAGGTCCTTAGAGGGAAGAGAGAGGGATACGGCAGCAATATTCTGCTGGAGCAGACTGGGGAGGATTTTGAATGCCATTTAATATACTTACATTGTAAAAAGCTGCGAAGGCTCTCAAGCTGGGGGCAATTAGTGAGGGGTGGGTATCTTCTCAAGTTCAGGTCTGCATCCATCCATATTGGGATAAATTGCCCGGAGGAGAGGCAAGAAATAGGGGACCCAGATTCGGGAGACTGATGAAGTTAAGCAAGCTCCTGGCGAGAGGGCTTTGGTCTCGAAGTCTGTGCTGGGCTGTGTCAGAATATATGGCTCCTGCCCGCTGGCCTGAGGTGTGCTGGGGGCGTGAAGGACACCCACTCTTGATGTGAAAACTATAATGGGAAAGATCTCATTCATCAATTTTTATTGATTGCATGTTAAGATGATATTTTTGATACATTGGATTAAATAAAATATATTTCTAAAATTAATTTCACCTGTTGTGCATTTGTAATGTGGCTTACATTTGTGAGTTAGTGTACAGCAGTGCTCTGGGGTGGGGGGTTGGTGATGGGCTTGTCCTACTTGGAGCCTGTGCTTTTCCACCTTGTGATGGGGTCTAGAGAGGAGGGAGAGCTGGAAGTGGAGCTAGGATTCAGGATTCAGGATTTGTTGATGGAGCTCTCTGCTCATTGGTGTGTACACTTGTGCTCCAAGGCTGCTGGGTGCTCAGGCCTGTGGCCGGCCCTCCCTCTCAGAGCCCTTGCTGCTCAGTGAGGGGCTTGTGTCAGGAAGCCCTACAATGGCCTCTTGGTCCGTTGGTGGGATGAGCCATTTCCCTGAGCACCAGGGGAAGCACATTGCTGTTTGGGGGTTTTGCAGGCTGTGTTCAGGAACTGTCCTCAGTCTGTCTTTAAGTGTGGGCTTAGCTGGTCATTTCTGGACTACAGAAATGGAGCAGCTGTTTTCCCACCTGAAAACGAAGGGATGGGACTGGATGTTCGCTAAGTTCAGTCTAATATTCCTTTATCTGTTTAACTTGCTCTTTATGTTTCAGCTTGTTTCATTCATGATTTTAATTTTAATTACAATGTTTCTGTATTTACATTTTGACTCAAGTAGTGATCATTAAAGGACTTTTGGAGGAATATACCAGAATTTTAATTTCACAGATTTTTTTTAAATTGATTTTTTTGAGTTGTTAATTTCACTTATCTTAAATGTTGAGCTTTTTTGCATATTTGATGGCTTGTTACCCTATATATAATGCTTGTTTAAGTTAATAGCAAATAGATATTCAGGGAAAATAAGGTATCTCAAATATATATTTTGAGATTTTTATTATATCTCAAAGGATTTTGATATTTAGCATTAGATTTAAAAATTATTTTGTATCCTCTGGTTTCTTATAGATAAAGAAGTCTAATCACTGAAATAGTTTTTAATTCAGGCCCGTTATATTTTGATGGGCCTCTTTTCATTTTGCCCTTTCTCATTTCCATAGAGCTGTGAGTCATACTGATTACATGATTGTGCATACTGCTTCTCCCCCCCGATTTATAACATATCTTTTCCCAAGTCATTAAAAACTTTTGTGAACAGCATTTTTCATGGCTGTCTAATATCCCATCTTATGGATGTGGCTTAAACTGAACAAGTGGGGTATAACTGGGTGTGTACATTTCTCCTGGTCTTTGCCAATATAATGTTGCAGTTATGTAGATAAAAAACTTTTTCCATACTTTGGCTTATTTCATTTTAAGTTTCTAAAAGTGAGATTGATGAATCAGAGGTATAACTGTTTATACAGTTCTTTGTCAGATTGATTTCCTAAAGGGCTATAGCATTATACCTTTTCACCAGTATTGGGGCCAAGCGCTTGGGAAAAGGAGTGTTGAAAATGTAAAAAAAATTACTTTAGTTTTGGGATTTGTCTTGATATTTTTTGACTTTACATTTCTGTCCCCTCTCCCCCGCCACCAACCTAGGTTCACATATTGCATTTAATTGTCACTTGTCTTTAATCTCTTTTAATCTAGAGCAGTGGTTCTCAACTCGGGAGGGAGTGGTGTGAATTTTGTCCCCTAGAAGACATTTGGAAGTGTCAGGAGACATTTTTCATTGTCACAATTGAGGGGGGAAATTAGAACCATAGGGCCTTATTATAAACATAGAGTTCTTCCTGTACGGTACTCGAGATTACATAGAGTGCAAGAACTTCCTTACGCCTGGCCCTCCCACAGATCCTCGTCATCCTGTGGGGTTTGACTAGTACTTACTGCATTGTAGTTTTGATTTGCACTTCCCTAATAGCTGATGATGTTGAATGTCTTTCCATGTGTTTGTTGTCCATTTGTTTATCTTTTTTGGAGAAGTGTTTATTCAAATCCTTTGCCCATTTTTAAATTGGGTTGTTTGTCTTTTTATTGTCATAAGAGTTCTTTATATGTTCTCGACAATAGACTTGTCAGACATGATATATGAATATTTTCTCTCATTCTGTAGGTTGTCTTTTTTGTTTCTTGATAGTGTCTTTTGATGCACAAAAGGCTTTAATTTTGATGAAGTTCAGTGTACTTTTATATTTGTTGCTTATCTTTTGGTGTCACATCTAAGAATCCATTGCCATATTCAAGGTCATAAAGATTTATTCCCAGGTTTTCTACTTAAGAGTTTTACAGTTTTAGCTCTTATTTTTAGATCTTTGATCCATTTGGGGTTGATTTTTGTTTATGGTGTGAGATAGGGATCCAGCTTCATTTTTTGCATGTGGATATTCAATTTTTGCAGCACCATTTGTTGAAAATACTTTTCTTTCTCCACTGAATGCTTCTGACACCCTTGTGAAAAACCCATTCCAACTGTCCATTGATGGATGAGTAGGTAAAGAAAGTGTGTATATTACTCAGCCATGAAAGAGAAGGAAACCCTCTTGTATGTGACAACATGGGTGGACCTTGAGTATATTATGCTGAGTGAAATAAGTCAGAGAAAGACAAATACTGTATGATCTCACTTATATGTGGAATCTTACAGAACAAAACAAAAACCAAACTCATAGAAACAGAGTAGAATGGTAGTTGCCAGGAGCTGGGGAATGGAGGGAATGGAGAAATGTTGGTCAGAGAGTACAACCTTCCATTTAGAAGATGTGTAAGTTCTGGGGATCTAGTGTACATCCTGGTGACTATAATTGACAATACTGTATTATATACTTAAAAATTACTAAGAGAGTAGATTTAAAATGTTCCCACCACACATACACAAATTTTAATCATGAGAAGTGATAGATATGTTGACTAATCTTTTTGGTAATCATTTTGCAATACATATGTGTATCAAAACATCAGGTTGTACACCTTAAATTCACACAATGTTATATGTGAATTATATCTCATAAAACTGGGAGGGGCAGGCAGGGGGACTAATTGACCATAGGCGTTTAGGTTTATTTCTAGACTCTCAATTCTATTGCATTGATCTATATCTCTATCTTTATGCCAGTACCCACATTGTTTTGATTAATAAAGCTTAATGTCAAATGTAATTAAAAAATTTAAAACTAATAAAGTTTTGTAATACGTTTAAAAATAGGGACGTGTGAGTCTTCCACCTTTATTCTTCCATTTTTTAAAGATTTTGGCTATTGGGTCTTCCATATGAATTTTATTTTCAGTTCATTTCTGCAAAAGAAGCAGTTGGGGTTTTGATGGGTTGCATTGACTCTAGATCACTTTAGGGAGCATTGTGTCTTATACTAAGTTTTCTGATCTATAAACATGGGGTGTCTTCCTGTTTGTTTTCTGTAATTTCTTTTAATGGTGTTTTACAGTTTTCAGTGTGCAGGTATTTCACCTCCTTGGTTAAATTTATTCCTAGGTATTTATTCCTTTTGATGATTTTTAAGTGGATTTGGTTTTTTAATTTCCTCTTCAGATTGTTCATTGCTGGTGTGTAGAAACAATTGATTTTTGTGTGTTGATCTCGTACCTTGCAACTTTCCTGAATTTGTGTATTGGCTTTGGTAATTTTTTTGTAGCTTCTTTGGTATTTTCTGTATGTAGGATCATGTCATTTGCTAATAGAGATAATTTTACTTCTTTCTATTCACCTGGATGCTTTTTATTTCTTTTCTTGTGGCCTTGCCCTGGCCAGCACATCCAGTCCAGTGTTGAATAGCAGTGATGAAAGTGGGCGTCCTTATCTTGTTCCTGACCTTGGGGAAAGTTTTAGTCTTTCACTAACTATACAATGTTAGCTCTGAGTTTTGTGCGTGTGTTTTATTCTGACCAGTGCTGATTCCTAAAGAAAAGCCCCCAATCACAGTTGTTGGTGATGTGGGAGGAAGGATCGCCATCATTGTGGTATGTAAACCTCTTTTATTATTAATTGTTTTATTTACCATTGTTATTTTGTTAACCTATTTGTTAATTGTGTGGGGTTAGTCATATGTCCAGGTAAGTCTCATTTGAGTTGGTACCTTGTACTAAACATTTATGTTGGTCCAAAATAGAAAATTGTTATCATTAATTTATTAAAAAATTGCTAACTACTTTGTTAACTAAATAGTGTGCAGCTGTTTGTCATAACATGAGACGTCGTTCTGTGATCAAAATAGGATACAAAATTGATTATAACTATTTAAGACACACATCCTCTCACACTTCACCAAAACAGTGCACAAAAGGATTACATTTAATGCCTGTACAGTTTAAATAAGAATAAGATGAATACATGGGTGCTCCCTACTCAGCTTGGAAACCACATTGTTGAGTGCCCTTGTAGCGCCTCCGGCCTTTTCCCTGGTCTCTGTCCTCTGTTCCCGCCAAAGGTTGTCACTACCCTGAGGGTTGTCATTCATGCCCTTACTTGTCCTTGTATTCTACCATGAGTACACGTGTATTGTTTTGTTTTGCGTGGTTTTGATGTTTATATAATGAAGTCTGTGCACTCTGCCTTTTTGTCCTTGCTGCTTTGAGATTTCCTTGTGTGGTACAGTATTCTTTTTCACTGTATGGTGTTCCATGGTATAACTATTACACAACTTATTTATCTGTTCTCTGGGCATTGAACATACAGTCTTTTCTATTTCCAAATAATACTGCTTTGAACATTCTCACACTTGTTTTCTGGTGCGTGCAGAAAGACTTTCTAGGTGCCTGCGAATGGAGTTGTTCAGTTTGAAAGTACACACATTTCCAGCTTTACTAGGTGGTGCCACCTTGTTCCCAAAGCAGTCATACCCCTTCACCAGGCCTCCACAGTGGGCCCCACGTTCTCCTCAGCACTTGTAATTTTGTTAGAAAATCTCTGACATCACCCTATAGGGTGATAGCTGTCTATTAATTTATTCTTAATTAACAAAATGTAGTAACAAAATCTGTAGAAACAAAATTCAGTAGCACTTTTTCCCCCTTTCTACTGCAACTACATTAAAAAAATTTTTTTTAACTTTTTATTTTGAAGTAATTATATATTCATAGGAAGTAGCAAAAAAAAATACAGGGAGGTCTTGCACACGCTTTACCCAGTTCCCTCGTTCTTGCTTAACTGTAGTATAGTAACACAGTCTAAAAATTCATATTCCACTCTCCATAGAGCTGCTTCAGATGGCTGACACCAGTGTTGAGTGTGCAGGTGCGTGCAGTCTCGTCACACGTATAGCTTTGTGTGGCCACTATGCAGTCAAGACTCCGAACGATTCCAGCACAGAGCTCCCTCACGCTGCCCCTCTATAGCTACACCTACCTCCTCCCCACTTGATCCCTAACTCTGTTGTAGTCCCTAATCTGTCCTGTCTCTATAATTGTGATTTCAAGAAAGCCTCATAAATGGAATATACAGTTTGATACCTTTGGAGATTGACTTTTTTCACTTAGCATGATTTCCCAGAGATCCATCCAGGTTGTACATTAACAGTTGTCCTTTCAGTGCCGAGCAGCCCTCTGTGTGTGGAGGTTGTGCAGCTCCCTTAGCCACTCAACTGTGAAGGGAATTTGGATTGTTTCCAGGGTTCTGCTATTAGAAATGAAGCTGCTCTGCACATTTGTGTGTAGGTTTTTGTGTGAACAGAGTTTTTATTCTTCTGAGATAAATGACCAAAAGTTCAGTCATTGGGTTTCACGGTAATTGCAAGTTGAGTTTTATAAGAACCTGTCAAACTGGTTTTCAGAGTACCATTTTACCAAAAGTGCTTTTAAAGTAATATATGTGGTTTGATGTTTTTTGATCATAGTGGTATCAGTATATATTTGAAGAGAGTTTTATATATATACATTCAGGGTTGGCGAAAGTAGGTTTACAGTTTGTATGGAAACGAATACAATAATTAATAAATGATAATACAAGAATAAGCTCTGTGTTTCGCATACTCACAACTGTAAATCTACTTTTGCCACACTCAGTAAATAAAATACGTGAATATCTATTCAACCCTAGACAATGCTTGATACCCAAATGGGCTTGAAATAGCTGGTAGCCTGGGTATAATAGGAAAGACTCAGTTTTCCTCCTCCTGTGTTTCTTTACTGTGTGTCTTTTTACTACTCATATAAAACACTTCCCTTCTGGTCGCCAGAGTGGAGATTTTTCCACTCTGCTATGGTTTAACTCAGACATTGTCTACCAGAAGACTGTCAGGTCTCACAGGTTAAGTGCTCAGTCCCACAAGACTGCCGCCCCTTCAGATGCTGTTCTCAAGTAATAGGTTACCCACAACTTCTATGATTCAGCTACAAATCAGAGGTTCCTGTGACCCCTTCATTGGTTGGATTAACTTGCTAGAGCAGCTCACAGAACTCAGGGAAACACTTACTTACACTTACCAGTTTATTAAAGGACATGATAAAGGCCACAGATGAAGAGATACATAGGATGATGTCTGGAAGGGTCCCTAGCAGAGTACCTTCTGTCCCCGTGGTGTTTAGGTATGTCACCTTCCTGGTTCATGGTTTTGTTCATTGCCCTGGAAGCTCTCTGAGCCCCCTACTATGGGATTTCGTGGAGCTTCCTCACATAGCATGATTGATCATTAACTCTACTTTCAGTCCCTCTCCCCTCTCTAGAGAAGTAGGGACTGAAAATCCCAAGCTTCCAATCATGGATTGTTCTTTCCAGTCATCAGCACCCATCCAGGAACCCACCCAGAGTCACCTCCCTACAACAAAAGACAGTCCTATCACCCAGGAAATTACAAGGGTATGAGGAGCCCTGTGTCAGGGAGGGAGTCTGAGGCCAGCTGTTCGAACAAAAGATGCTCTTAGGGCTCTTACCATTTAGCAGTTTACCAGGGTTTCAGGAGCCCTGTCCCAGGAACCAGGGGCAGAGACCAACATATATATATTTTATTATCTCACATTGGGAATCTGTGATCCATAGAATAGAAACCACTGAACTGGGAATATTGTTAAACATAATAATTAGTGCTTTCCCCCATTATAAAAACATGTAAAAAGCATAGTTCCCCTCTGCACAGTGGAGAAAATTTGGAAAAGTAGCAAGAAAAGAGGAAAGAACAACCCATTCAAAGCATCTTCTAACAGTTTTACTATGTGTTTTTTAAAAAAACATTGAGTGAATGTATTTGGAGCACCTGCATGGTGGGGGCGCAGTTCTGGACATAGGGATATAGAGCTGGAAACTGCAGGGAGCGTGGAGTGTGGTGGAGAGACAAGCTGCCTGTGAGTGACAGAACTGCAACAGATGCTCGGAAAGGCCTGGAGGGCATGCAGGGGGAGCAGGGACAGGCCCTGCTGTCCAGACTCGTAAAACAGATTTGTTATTGTAAAATGAGAACCTTTCTTCTTCCTGGTTATCTAAACCTGCCTTTGCCAGCGTGTTCGTGTTCATGTACATTTTGCTCAATCTGTAATTTGACAGGATGACATTATCGATGATGTTGACAGCTTTCTTGCTGCAGCAGAGACCCTGAAGGAAAGAGGTGCATATAAGATCTTTGTGATGGCGACTCATGGCTTGTTATCTTCAGATGCTCCCCGACTGATTGAAGAATCTGCCATCGACGAGGTAACAGAGCCAGCCCATGTGTGAGCACACCTCCCCTGCCATTCTGGCACCTCCTGATCTGTAGTTACAGAGAGCAGGTGAAGAGGGATCTGTTTTGTAGTTACGAATGGATTAAAAACGTGTTTCAACCACTATAAGCCTTTGTCTTTTGCCCCTAGTAGTAGCTAACAATTCTATAACTTTCGTAAATGGAGCATGTCGACTGTGCTGGCAATGCTGGATGCTGTGCGGCACCCTCCTGAGCTCCGCCACAGCCCAAGGCCCTCGTCAGCACCGATTCAGAGCGATGAGAAATTGTGCATCAGGAAAGTTCAGTGACTGAGGCCAGACAACTACGAGGCTGAACATTTGGGTCAGACATTAGTGTGTCTGATGCCCTAGTGCAGCTGCCTGTGATAGGAAATTGGGAGAGGAAGGCCAACAGGGCGGTTTTCCTAAGGTGCCTCGGGCTCCCTTGTGGCTGAAGAAGGCTGTCCAGGCTTATAGCCCTCCTTTGTGCACCTCCCTGTTCTGGAGGCCGGCCAGGTAATGGGGTGGATTGTACCAAGCACTTTTTTTTTCTTTCTTAAATAGAAGTGCTGGGTATTGAATCTTAAATTAGTGAAACTCCTTTTACTTTTCCAAGTCTCACATAGTTACTCTCCACATTAGATCTCCCGAGCCTGGCCCCACTCTGTTTATCATCTTTGATGGGTTCCAGATGCCTCAGTAGAGACTTGCATGGCTCTGATCAAGCAGCCTCCTTCCTCACTTAGTTCAGGAAATGAACAAAGAACCCAGAATGACATTAGAGGCACTCAAGGAGGCAAAATGGACAACGTAGAATCCACATATTAAGTAAAGTGAGAAGATTTCAGGCCCAGGGCCGCTCTCACTGGTCTGTCCACACAGCAGTAGGTAGAGCTCTCTCGAGTGCTCTCTGGGGGCCAATTGGAAAGAGCAGCCAGAGGAAGGTGGAGAGGGGATGCTGGAGCCAGGCCTTAGAGCAGAGTGGGCTTTGGAGGGAAGGCACAGCAGCCAGCAGGGGCAGGTGGGAGCACTTGAGTGGAGAGCTGCCCTATGGATGCCTTTGCATCCCTGGGAGCTCTCACCAATGTGCATGACGAAGTCGGGCAAGGAACCAGTGGCTGCACTGGCCCTGTGCCCCTCTTGGTCGGGAAGCAGAGGTTTTCATGTAAACTTACATGCAAAGCATAGCTGCACAGTAGATTATAAAGTTTGGCGCAATGGAAAAATAACAGCTGGTGGACAGGCTGGGAGGCCGGTGTTGAGAGGGGGAGGGAGGCTCTTTTCCTTTCAGAGAAGGAGCCAGTGCTTAGTGCTTGGAGCTCAAAAGTCATGGTTTAAAGTGTTTTCATGTCTTCTTCAAAATTGCAAGTAGTTAAGTTAAAATGCCCAGAACAGGCATCTATACATACCGTACATTTGTGGTTGCCAGGGGCTGGGGAAAGGATAACTAGGACCACCAGCTCAGGCATTCAGAGCTTCTTTCTGGGGAGATATTAAACACAACCCTGAGTGTTCTAAAAACCATTAAATTGCACACTTTAAATGGGTGAATTGGGCTGTCCCCAGAATACAGCGTCATGATTTTTAGTGTTGGAGAGAAAATGATGGAAAAAGTTGGCGGTATTTGATTTGCATGCACAAAATTATTTGTCCACCTTAAAAAATTGGGTGAATTACCCCAGCCAGCGTGGCTCAGTAATTGAGCATTGACTTATGCTCCAGGAGATCGGGGTTTGATCCCCAGTCAGGGCACATACCCAGGTTGCAGGCTTGACCCGAAATAGGGGACATGAAGGAGGCAGTGACACTCTTTCATCATTGATGTTTCTATATCTCTCTCCCTTCCTCTCTCTGAAATAAATACATTTTTTTAAAAATTGGGTGAATTGTATGGTATGTGAATTATATCTCAATAAATCTGTTATTTTAAAAAATGGTTAGAGGCCGGCCGGCATGGCTTAGTGGTTGAGCATTGACCTGTGATCCAGAAGATTGCGGTTCGATTCCTGGTCAGGGTACATGCTTGGGTTGTGGGCTCCATCCCCAGTATGGGGTGTGCAGGAGGCAGCCAATCAATGACTCGCTTATCATTGATGTTTCTGTCTCTCGCTCTCCCTTTTTCTCTCTCAAATCAATAAAGGCATATTTTTAAAAATTAAAAATTAAAAGATATAGTTAGAATAAATTTAGAAAATTCATTTCCTAATGAGGGTGGTTATTTAGTAAGAAAAATCAGCCCACAAGATCACCACAGGCACACATAGTGCAGGCTCAGCCCTACCCTGGGCATGTTAATTCTGTGTGACTGGTGCAGTAAATTCTGTTTGATACCAGTGGGAGGTATTTTTTTTCTCTTTGGGAACTGTTCTCCCTTTTATAGGTAGTGAGATTTATATAGCCTTTTATGCTTCCATTATTGTTACCAGGAAGATCAAGTGCCAAATGATGAGTCAATAATTAGGTTAGACTAGGTTTTCATATCCCTAGTGCTGGCTCTGAATAACTTCTGACTGTCCATCTCTTTCAGCAGTCTCTTTCAATATGTGCTGCTTTATTATAAACTGTCTTGAGCCTTATTTTGGAAGTAGGGAATATATATTATAAATAATTATTATTAAAATTCCCATTCCCGGGTCTTTTTAAGAAGGTAATTTTTTTTTCATTTGTAGCTATTGAAAAGTGCTTGTTTTCTCCATTTTTCATTTTTATCAAATTCTAACTTTTAAAAATAACAGCTTTACTGAGATGCAATTCAACCACTTAGAGTATATGTGATTCGGTGGTTTTTAGTACATTCACAGAATTGTACAGCCGTTACTGTGGTCAGTTTTAGAACATTTTCATCCCCCTAGAAGGAAACCTCAGGCCCCTTAGCAATCATTCTCCATTTCTTCCCCATCCACCCAGCCCCAGGCAACCACTTCACTTAATCTACTTTCCGTCTCTGTAGATTTACCCAGTCTGGACATTTTATGAGAATGCGGTCATACAGTGTTGGTCTTTCATATCTGGCTTCTTTCACTCTGCACAGTGTTCGTCCATGTGGTAGCGTGTGTGTCAGCACTTCATTTCTTTATCTCTTCATTTGGGGAAACTTGGACTGTTCTGCTTTCTGGCTGCTGTGAACAGTGCTGTTGGAAACACTCATTTATTGGCTTTGTATGAGCGTTATGTTTTCATTTCTCTTGGGCATATACCTAGAAGTAGAGTTGCAGGGTCACATGGTGACTCTGTGTTTAAACTCTTAAAGAACCTGCCAGACTGTTTTCTTACACAGCTGAACCGTTTTCCATTCCTGCCAGCAATGTAGGAGGTTCCAGTTTCTCCACATCCTTGTCAACACTTTTTATTATCTGTCTTTTTGTAAGTTTATCAAATCTTAGTCTAGGAAACAAAGGTAGCGTTCACATGGACTGAAACATTGTTGAAGGTATGATTGACTCACTGTCCAGAGATTTGAGAATATGTCAGATTTCCAGATCATACCAGGAAGCTACTTGGTTTTATGATGTTCTTGGTTTTTCTCTCTTGATTCAAAGGTGGTCGTTACCAATACAATTCCACACGAAATCCAGAAGCTGCAGTGCCCCAAAATTAAAACTGTGGATATCAGCATGATCCTTTCAGAAGCCATCCGTCGGATTCACAATGGGGAGTCCATGTCCTACCTTTTCAGAAACATAGGCTTGGATGACTGAAGAGCTGTCTTTTCTTACAACTCCCAGGGGCCAAACTGGAACCGCAAGAGTGCGCACTGTGGGATCTCACCCGATTTGATGTACTTCCCGGAGGCCATTTGTGTTTTGTTCCTTCCTTGTTAATTACTATGAAGATAGACCAATTTTTTTGTCAATTTGGGTGTTTGTGAGTTTTGGGGGCAATTTTTATAGAAGAAAAACTATATTCTCCTCTTAAAGTAAGTTAAGACATTATTTTTAGTTTAACTATTTAAAATATAACTTGGAATACAATTTTTAAGCTCACAAGCAGTCTTTTTCCAAAATTGTTAGAGCCCAAGTGCTTAAAAAATTTAATAAAATAAAATAATCTACTGTATGATACCTACAATTGAAAAGCCAAAAAACCTATACTGTTGAATCCAGTAGATGACATTTTTAGAAATGCTTTTATAGACAAGCATATGGAACATGTGACCATTATTTATTTTCTGCAAAAGAAGGAATAAAAACTTACTGTTTGTGTGTGATTTTTTTTTTACACTTTGTGTTTTGGCAATTGTTTTATAACTAAAATAAAATGAAAGCTGAATATACATGCTGTGGGTGTTAAAATGTTCATCACATTGATTAAATTTTCTCTGCTGTAACTTTTTGGGGGACACAGCAGCTTCATAGGGATGTAATGTTCTCTGTTCTACTTGTCCAGAACCCTGCACGTTCCTGTTCATAGTCACTTGACTGTGGCTGGAGAGGAACTCAAATCCCAGGCTGGAGGGGTGGGGGTAGGGGCCTGTGCCCCTTGTTTGACAGCACAGCCGTTTTCCAAACAGAACGTGGCACTGAATGCCCTTGGGGATGAGATG